GATTTGACTGGTCGAATTTTAAGCACCTTCGGTGCTTAAATCGACCAATCAAATAGCATACAGCAAATAACTATTAATTATAAGACATACGTATAATATAAAAAAGTAAATAAATAATAATGACAAACATAGATTTGTTGAAAATATAATTTGCGTAATAAGTTACATGTAATTTACTGTAACTTGTATGTAATACTGTTGCAAAAGCTAATGCTAATAAAGTTATATTGATTAACGAACTATACACTCTTTTTTAAAAATGAATGATGATACAAATAGCAAAATTGAGCCAACATGGATGTATACAATATAGTGGTAGTAACATCAACCACAGACTTTTTATTAACCAATCTTTATTTCACTGATTGAAGAATAACTTAGGTCAATTTTTAATATAATTATCAAATTATTACAATACAAATTCGCAAAAAAAAAAAAAAAAAAAATCTTAGTTAATATATACTATTTTACACTTATAAAGAAAAAAAAATTAAAGTCAAATGAAATTTTTTTTATAATATTTAACATCAATTTTTATTTTTATAAAAAAATTTACAGTCAACTCTTTCTATAACGAACTACAGTTCGGAAAGGAAAAAAGTCATAATAATAAATATATAAATCTGTCAAGTAAATTTTTTTTTTTTTAAAAAAAAAAAGAACTCTAAAAATGTTATAACTAAATCCAGATATTAGGGCTCCAAAAGCTCCTTTTTCCTAGTAGTTGAGAAGTCCATCTGCACAGCTAACTCTCCAAGCACTAATTTCGTTAAAAATTGCATTTGTAAAAAGTAAAATATTTAAAATTTTATAAACTTGAATGAAAATAAAAACTAAGTATGGGAACTGTGCTTATGGGTAGTTGACTACAATATACATATTTAATGATTTTTTCATCCTATAATTTATGTCACATTTAATGTGGTTTTCCATGAACACAACAATAACAGGGAAGATAAGTAATGCAGGCATTATTCAATTTAGCTCCCCACAATGTTTTAATACCATTTGAAGAAGGTACATTCGGTAGACTTTGAACAACATTTTTGTATCTACCGTCATCTTTGACAGTATGTTCAACTAAAGATTGGCCTTGCTTCATGTCAAAATTACTCAACATGTCTCTGGCAGTAATGCACGGCCCAATTAAAGACTCTAGATTATATGTTTTAATGAGCGCATTAATTTCATTCAGAACAGATGAATCCTCAAGAAGCTTTTCATATATTCGCTTCACGTATGGGTCTGTCGAATATTCAAACACTAAAAGTTCTTCATCATTTAAAATCCAACTTGCTGGATATGAATTATCTGGTAAATCTGCTGATGTAATAAATGCAGGTTTTCCCTCATACTCAGAGAACGTTTCTATCATCGCTTGTCCATCTTCTAAGGGTATTTCATGGCTATGAAGTAATCGAAGCCCTAACTCAATGCCTTTTTTTTCAGTTAATTGTTCAATTTTGGCCAATAGTTCCTTAAATTCGGATTTTCTGAGATCTAATTCGTCGTTCGCTTTTTTGGGGGACAGTAAGCCACTATATTTTTTTGAGTCAAATTTATTCAAGATAGTCATTTTGGACAATTGAAAATTTTTTATTTCTTTAATTTGGCGAGTTCACACTAGTAAAAAGGAAAAATGCTGAAAATTCGCTTTTAACTTTGTGAGAAATTTATATATTTTTCGATCTAGCATTACTGTTTTAATAAAATATAACAAAGATCTAATAATCGATAAGATCTTTGTGAAATTATCCAATCATACCAAAAATGTATTAATTGCACGTTTGCTATTTAAATTTCCGCATACGTTAGGCATGAAAGATTAGATTGTGGAACTGTGGGGTGGATTTTTTTTTTTTATCCTTTGGGAAAATCGAAGTTTAGAAGCTTTATTATTGATTCTAAGCAATCCATTTGTAATTTACAAATAAATTTTTTTACAGGCGAAAAATCCCAGTTATATTAGAAAATTCTGGATTTATTGCAACATTTACGAACAGATGCCTAAAAATACATACAAGATTTACGTCAGCTCAAACGAGTGATAAAAAAATGATAAATGTTCTCATTCATTGTATATCGAATTGTTGTAAAAAATTTATTGCTGTCATGTATTGATATAACTTTGTATACTGGTAGAAAAAAATTTATAATTATTAATAAATGTTGAAGTTTTATAATGATAGTTTATAGTGTATTATTTATTTAATACTAGTATGTACGTATGTATGTACGTACGTACGTACGTACGTACGCAAGAAAGATTAAAAAACCTGTTTAGCAGGTCAGGTCATTTGATGAGTCAGCAAGAATGGTAACATATGATTAGATGTTACCTAAAGCTCAAACATGATGTAACGATTCTTAATAAGTTACATCATAGACTTTGAGCTGTGTACATATAAGTATTTTTGAAATTAATCATATTTCCACAAAATAACTTGGCCTGAATTATGTCCTTACTGACCAAAACTATCTTATTAAATCGGTAGGTATGCTTAACAAGGTTTTTTCTTATCAATGCTCAAAATAA